TATCGTAATTTCAGTGACAGCTGCCAATTCATTACGGAGGGATTATCGCGTGACTGTAGGAACACGTCATGTTCCGAATGTGGAAGTCTTTCTTACCGCCAGTCCATTGGATGTACACTTTCATAAATGTCAGACGAAACTAGTTCGTAGGTAAGAAAGGCGTTGTAATTTTAATTACGAGTACGTGTTATTAAAGTTGAATTTTGTCTGTTATTAATCTGTTACGACTTAAATTTAACGTTAAGTTTTTAATCACATTACCGTAAAGTCATTCTAGCCTTTTTATTATAACTTTCGTGAGACATTCTAAATTAATTATTATGTTTTCGGCTTACTCACGTAATAACGCGACAGTCGCCGACTCGCGTGTTGCGGAATGCTGCTCATGAATATGGGCCTCTAGCAAGGCTTGAAACTAGTCGAGTATCTCGTCAAATTATTATGTGAGTAAGCCGAAAACATAATCATTAATCATTCTAGTCTTGTACCTAGGCTTGTATGTTTGTGTGGAATTGTACGGAACTAAAATTTACATGTAAGAAAAAGATTGTCCTAAAAACAGCTAATCTCCATTCTACCTACCTTATGTACCTACATACAATAATTTACACTAAGTTCATTTTGAAGAAAAACATTTTTTCCATGGAATTATTATGATTCGAACAAATCCATTTCCATCCGTGATAAAGAAATATAAGCGCAAAATCAAGTTGCAAAATTCTGATAAAAAGTATCTAATCAAGTAATAAAAGCCGGTTATAAAACATAGAATGATCAAGAACAAAGATAACTGTCCCAGGGAACTGTGGAGTTTTCGTAGAAATAAAAAAAGCCCTTACTTCGATACGGGGCGTCGTATAATAAAAGATGCAAACCGACGACGTTTGCGAGCCGTTCTTGTGATAACGCATATTGAAACCATCCATTACTTCGACTCTTCTGTATTACCAGAACACCTGATACCAAAATTGCTTGTTAGTATTCAATGTATCGCAGCCCCTTTTTTACTATCGCATGTTTTAGAGATGATTAAAAAGTAACCGTATTGTAAGCGAGCGAAACCATTTCCACACAACACTTTGCCATGAAATATGCACAAGAATATTCTGTAAAAACGTTGCATTCGTGCGATTATAATTACCTAACGAGCAGTGTTTGATGGCGTCATAAAATTTGCATTCGGTTTTTTTTTCTTAATTAATCTAAGAGTAGTTTTATATGTTGATAAATATTTTGAGTTGTAATATCGAGTAAAAATACCTCGAAGCTACAGGAGACTATTAGGTACTCTGAGTCGCGTGCCATTTTTGTTAATTAAGTTATACATCATGTCAGATCTTAAGGGTCATTTATTGTACAATCATTATTACAGTGTATAATATTTTTAACAAACCCCCGAAACCTTACAATTAAATTGTTAAAAGTACAGTCCAAGGAGAGCTGAGCTTTGGCACACTTGAGTCGCCTCGACCTGAGTGATACCACGGCCTCACAGAAATCCGTCGTAAAACGACAAAAGCGTTGAGTTTAACCATATGAGTGAGGTTACTGAAGGCCCAATCCTTCCCCATCTTCCTTTCCCCCAATCCTTAAATCTCCGAAAACCTAATTCTTAAGAGCTGGCAACGCAGTAGCAGCTCCTTTGGTGTTACGGATGTCACCGACCGCTCACCATCAAGTAATCCGTCCACTTATTGGTCCCACTGTCACATACAAAAAAATAATTAGAATTCTTCACACACTACACATATTCAACACAAGTATGAGGCGTAATAATTCATAAGACATTCCCCACAATGAGCTATATTTTTACATGTTTTATAGGAGTACTTTTACGACATTATAACTTTCGCAGAATAAAATATGTACATATCCAAAAAGAAGGTAGACGGCTTTATCTGATGGCGACCAAAGACAATAAAAGAACCATTAATACCTACATAGTTACTAAAACTACAATATACTCGTACCTGATTAAAGGAGCCAAAACATTGAGGGTTGGATATTATTTTTTAAAACACTGTCCTTTTTTACGAAGAACCACCCCGTTCCTATTCCTGCACCAGGTCTAGGCCATGGTATCAAAGAACTGATCTAAAGATGCCTTTACTTTTATTTCTTTGCTACCAATAAATAAAACTGTGAGAGAGCCATGCTACGGCACGAATGGGTCGGCTGGACCGGAGTGACGGACGAGCCACGGCCTCACAGAAAACCAGCGTGAAACAACCATAGCTTTGTGTTTCGCCGTGTGAGTGAGGTTACCGGAGGCACAAACCTGACATACTGACAAACTGACATAAAAAAAGTAATAAATGTTTCCAATAATGCAACAGACTAGAAACAAGTTCTTATTAGAAGCTGACTAAGAAAGCAATGAGCAGACGTACCAAAGTACTTCAGTGATGACGCAATCATTCATTATTTAATTGTCTTAGGCCTGATTTTTCAATAGTCAGGTAAATGTTATCCGAGGATAAAATTGTTGCTGTCACTGTCTTATACAAGAATTCTGACGCGACAGCATCATAAACATTCCCCAGGCAACTTTTATCTAAAATTTGAAAAATTTGCCGTTACTCTTCGATTTTGGTTTTCTGTTATATTTATTTGTATGTGTGATACAGACTTCTACAAGTACACTTTTACCACTTCATTAAGAAAGAAAAGTGAACTACTCAATTCAAATAAGTAGTAATTCCATGACACATAACGTTAAAGCCTTCAATTTCAAATTGAAAACTTTTGCCTGTGATTGCTTCTTCCCTTCCTTTTTTATAACTTATAACTTCCAAGGAATTTGAAAGAAGAACATCTTTAAATTTCGTTACTATACGACAGACGACTGTCAAGTTCGATATGTAGAAGAGAAATATAAAGATGTCAGGTTTCCAGCGCGACGAAATAATACCCTAGAAATAACCTACACGTGGTCCGTATATGAAAAACTGTATACCTAGAGTTTACTACCATCTATCCAATACTTAACAACTACGGTTATTTATTTTAGTTTACAAACAGACTCATCGCCAATATAAACCAAACTCGAACTAGCAAACTGCGCATTATTCACTAAATTGCCTTCGTTTTTATTTGTCTTCCGTTCAGGATCCGCAATAACGAACGCAATTATTCAAAAACCAGTTGAAGTATTCTATCGATACTTATTCAATCCGATATTTGCTCAGCATCTAGGCGAGGAACATTGTTACATTTACTGAACCGTAGTATTGCCTCCGATTGTTCTGGATAGCGGCTAGACGGGCCTGCCCTCTCCTGGAGGGCTGTCCTGTGCGTACTTTAAATAATGTACACTCAGCCCCAGCGTAGCCGGTGCCGGTGTTATCTGAAATGAAAATCTTTAGTCATGAACACGACAAATTTAAGCTTTTCAATACATTGTTTGACTGTTATAAATAAAAATGGCGAATTAATAAAACTCCCGTGTCCCTTTTAATGATTTTCGTTTTTAATGATGTTCTCCTAAGGGTTTCTATAGCTATATAAAACAATTTTTTCGGACAGCCATCATTAAAATGTATGTCAATGTTATTTTGTGTTTACGTATTCTATGTAGCTTTTGATCCTTGTATCGATAGCACCGTACCTCGCTTGGATATACAGTATAGACTAGGTGAAAAGTGGTTAAAGTGCAGCGACTGGTTCGTGCACTATCTCCGCCCGCCGGCCCCGCTCGTCTGCTGACACCACACTTAGTACCATTTCCGTCTTCACTAGAGTGTACTTGCCCTCTGAATGCGTGCCTAAGATAACTAAATATCACGCGCGGATAACGTTGTGTACGCAAATATGACGTCATACCAATAAAATGGCGACGTGTAAACGACATAATTACTCAGTCACTTGTATGGAACTGTATGCTTTTTTAAAACTGTTGGCTTTAAAAATAATATCGACATCTTTCCAGTAGTATACTTCACTATTACATACGCCTGAATCCAAGAATGTGAGGCGAAGAATGTCCATAATTACGGCCATTGTTCGCTGTCAATGAAATACCGATTTTAATTAGTGCGTAACCATCGACTCTTCCTATTGATCCGATACTGTACTGAACATAAATACACTAATTGTGGAGTCGGTTGAGTACAATCTAACAATATTTCAGCCCGATATTTCCATGCACGCAGTTGTCTGTGACGAACAAGGCGAAGTAAATCATTTCAAATGAGCGTGAGACATCGGGAGAACATTCGGAATTTTTATTAACCGTCAGTTCTCGTGCTATCGTCTCGAAGCTAAATTGTTGTGCTAATATTGGCATGTGCCGTTACTGTTTGCTCGTTGTCTTTATTCACCAATTTACTTACATTTGAGCTCGCCCCGCGGGTCGTAAAGTAATATTATCCACCGTTGGGCGAGGGCAATAGTGCCTCTTTTACGGGCCGCGAGCGAGCGTCACATGGGAAATTATTTGACGTGGCGTTTAATGGATTTTTGCCTTCATAACACGCTACCTACAGCCAAATAAAAATACTGGTACCTACCAACCCACTTATAGTTATACTTGCATATGTTAGTAGGGTAGCTTTTATTGGAAAAGTACTTAATACTTTGATTGCGGACACTGTTCTCTGAAATAGTGTTCTTGTTCGTTCTATTTTAGATCTTTAATGTTTCACGTCTTTCACATGGTAGTATTTCAATGATATTGCCGACAAACTAACATTATTTTTCACTGTAACTGTCCTACGTGATAAAGGTAAGATTTTGATTCCAGGTCACAAAATAAACTGAGAATTGATATGATTGAACGCTTTTGAATCATATTCTATCCTGATATTTTTACCAGGCTGACAGATAAATGCAGCTGAAACTGCTGATCTATTTTATGTAAAGGTTCTTTAGATAAACACTTAAAACAAGAGTTTCCGAGATTCCTATCATGACTGGATAATCTGCAATTTCATACGTACTATTAAAACGACGCGGAATAAATCTAAAAGTATGGTCGTTCTAAAAAAAAATTTTATTTGCAGAATACGGAGTTACCAGCTTGGAGTTGCTGGAGCTGCGCGTGCCGGCGCACGTGGCGCTGGGCACGCGGGCGGCGCTGGCGTGCCGCTGGGCGCTGGGCCCGGCAGACGTGCTCTACTCCGTCAAGTGGTACAAGGACGGCAAGGAGTTCTTCCGCCACGTGCCGCGCGACCACGAACCCCGAAGGAAATTCCCTCTACCAGGAGTCGACGTAGAGGTAAAAGCTATATCGTGTACTTCACCATTATTAATCCTTATTTTTCTTGAAGTTGCAAAATCGGAATTAATGTACAAACTAGAGTACATTAGTAGTGAGTAGATTACATTATAGAAGCATTTACATTAAATTAGATATTCCAAATTTGCTTTGTATGTATTTCTGATAGAATCCGCAATTCCGGATCTAATACAAGTAGGTATAGTTGTCATGTCATCCTATTGTTTGGGTTGAATAGAATGTTAAGCAAGACTGTGATCCCGTATACGGTGCTATCTTTCCGTAATTAAATTTTCTCTGTATTGTGAGAACAGAACCTAGAAATGAACATTTTATACGTAACACTGCAGCTTCTTCGGCAAGTCACTAAAGCGTCAAATTACTCATACTTGCTTAAACAAAATTGATATAGACGTTCACGATACTGCGGTAAGTGAAACGAGCGCCGTATACCTAAGGAGTTCCGGCTTTCAATAGATATTCATGTCACACTTTTAATATCTTTCGCGTAATATTGTCAACCACTTAGTTTTAAGAGTTCCGATACTTCCCTCTCTCCCATGCAGGTTCCCTTGTTCCCAAACAATTGTGTAAATGCCGCGACTGAACAGATAATACGGATGAACTTTTAGAGTAGATACGTATAATTGGATTAATCCGGTCGTGAGTCGAGTTTGCTTAGGTCTCCCCGAGAGGAAACAATATAAAACTGGACCGGATATTACGCGGTGAAGAGGCGCAGGTGTAAACACACGCGCTCTCATGCGGGACTCATTTATACTTTCTTTCATTTAGCTGCCGCCGCTTATCATCTACAAACCATTTACAAATTTTTATTGCTTTTTTATATTTATCGAGCAAACAAAACGTAATGAAAACAATATCTCCAAATAAATGTAACATTCACGAGAGTTTTTATGTGCGGAGTTATCCGCTTCTACATTATACACGTTTTATGTGCTACGGAACTCTATAACTCACGCAGAGCATTACAAAAAGAAGTTGGTACGAGTTATTGCACGGGTTAATAACTGCTAGAAGTTTTTTTTTGTAAATCCTTTTAGTGAAAGTATCGCTAATAGATATTTTCCTAAGACCACCCTGTTTACCCCGACGGTTTAATAATGAACAAACAGAAAATAAACTCTAAGAGCGTTGCAAAACATTGGCGGGAATCTGGGGAAATTTTATAACGGGGCTTTACGTATGAAGGTAAATAATTTAGATGGGAAAATAGCCTAAGGTTACTTTGAACTTTGTAAGCAATTTAATCTATATATTATTGGCGGGCAACAAGTCTCGGGAGTGGTCCGCCGTCCGGAAGAGCTAATGACAACGTAACAATTAGGTGTGCGCAGGGTGCCACGATGGGGCCTACACATTAGCGAGGTTTGTTTGCTTAGCTTTCTGCGCTTACGCTTTATTTCCACTGTTTACCCTCAGACTCCGCTGATTGGATTAAGTATTTAACAAAATTTTTTGGTAATAAGAATTTTTCCTCGGCGTGTTCCTAAGTTTAATCAAGTTACATTGAGTTATTCAATTAAGAGAGAAGTCAAACAAATCATTTGACATAGGACCTTCTTATATTAATTTATACCAGATTTCCGAGAGGTTGAAAATTTTATTCTTTGTGTTTTTTATTAATTTAGAAGTATTTCTTTTCCATTTAGCATCGAGATAGACAGTAACAAGTGTTTATTGATTTTAGCTTTTATGCGGTGTCTGATGAAACTACGTTGATGATACCAAGAATTATTTAACAATGTTGCAATTATTTTTTAAATGTCGATAGCTTTTCTGATAAATAATTATTTTTTTAGAGAAATACTTGTAATTTTTGATTTATTTATTTGACTTTAATGTAATAAGTTTTCTAAAATTAGATCCGTTGTGTAAAAGCAGTTATAGTTTAAAGTTTCTTTAGTTACCTACCTTTCCCAGAATCTTGATTTCGTCTACAATTTAAAATGAATTCTTGTGAAGAATTTAGTCTGGTTCTATCTTCCATCTTACTTTAGGAAAATGTTTTTTTTGGTCAAGTACTCTAATCTCACCTTTTATCCTAAATAAGGATTTTATTCTTAACATTTTAAAGGTCACGAGTCAAATAAGTGATTTCTAAATATGGATGAAGATTACGCCAAAAATTATAAAGAATTTAGACCAAACTCATTTTCGTCTATTCGAAGATCATAAACACGTCATGACAACAATGTGAACATGAATGACAATTATCATCAAAAGCACATTCAAGTCATCAACAACAAGACATTTTCTTTTAGAAATAAAAAGGATTTTCATTCGTTTGTCTTAGAAATCAAGTCCTAATGGTGCAAATATTACGCTGTACCCGGCCGTGCTCGAGACGGGGGGCCGCTACCGGTGCGAGGTGTCGGGCGAACGACCCCTGTTCCCTACCGTGTCTGACCATGGAGACATGGTTATTGTTGGTAAGGACTTTTGTATATTATGTACATTTATTTTATTTTCTGCCTCAATTATTAAAAAATCAAATAAAAATATAAATTACTCCTCAACGTTTCAGTCAGATGAAATTATTATTTAGAAAGTTCTATTGTCAAAAATTGTTATCAAAGAAACAGTCCTCGTCATTAGTTGACTATTTAAAGAAATACCAAAGACAAAATAACTCGATGAGAATACGGAAAAACAATCCGATTATCTAGTTCATTCAAAAAAAACTAAAAGTTTATTTAAAATGCTCATAAATTTTATACCAGCATTGCATTAAAAAGTTTTAAAATAAAATTAAAAAGAAGCAATCCGTCCAGGATTCCAATTTCAAATTGGGGAAAAACAAAATGGCTGCTTAGTTCATTGGACGTACCTCATGACGGTTGCTCCAAAAGTGAATTCCAATTTGTAGATGGAGGCAGAGGACGGAACATTAGTTTATTACCTTACTCCGTGGAATTGCAACACAATTAAGTAATCGCATCCACTACATTTTTGTACATCACTTAAATAACTTGATACGGTTACTTCGTTAATAAATTGACTTCGGTTTCTGTAAAACAACTTTCCTTTTTATTGAAAATTTATTGGTGGATAATTTTTAAAGAGGATTTATTTAAAAACAAATTTTTGGAAAGTGGACCAATATTCCTTTCTATTATTCACTATATCAGTTGAGAATTAATAAAAATAAAATGATTAATTATAACGTCCGATTCTCAAGATGCCATTTCAATGACGAGTTTATTATTCTTATGGCGTACACCTCTATATTTCGTTCAAACTTCACCATCAATTTCAGTACACTAAAATCAATCATCAGTCTCAGTTTCCCGCGTTATATTTTAGGAACATTACGTTTCTGCTAAGCTTACCAAAGAGGCTTGTAAGTAACTGCGTTATTCGTTTTTTTTAACTCATCAAATCTATTTTAAGAATGTCCATATAAAACAGTAATTTTTGTTCTCCCAGCTCTTCCTGACCACGGTCCCACAATCACAGGATCACGTCTTCGGTACCAAATCGGAGATAGAGTCCAAGTCAATTGCACATCAGGTCGGTCCAGACCTGCAACTCGACTGGCCTGGTACATCAATGGAGAACCAGCTCCCTCTATAGCCCTCGTGCCACCAACACACGAGAAGCACGAAGATGGATTAGAAACCACGAGCCTAGCGCTCGATTTCAAAGTAAAACCCAAACATTTTAGGAAAGGAGACCTAAAACTTAAGGTAAGAAGGCTTCAATTAACATGTCTCACAATTATAGAAAAAAACGTCGAAGTTTAACTTGGTTGTGCTTAGATGACATTTTGTGTTCCAACATATTTGCTAATTCAGGGAACTTTAGTCTTTAATGTCGGTAGTCATTAGGTTTATTCGTCATCTGGCACGAAGCATGGCATGCGGGTAAGTAATTTCACCGAAACGTTGGTGTAGCCAGCGCGCCTTTAAACTCTAATGTTCGATAGCACTGCCGAATTAGTGTTGCACCAAATTTCCGAACTTTCAGATTGGTACACATCAACTAAATTTGAATGTTCGTGCAAATACGCCTAAACGGAGGATTGTTGCATAGTTTTGGGAACTGGTCCGTTCGAGGTCTGAATAAATTAATGAGTAATGGGAACAACTTTGATTTACTGCTGTGATCCTTAAGTCAATCGAATACACAATTGGAACCCACGCATTGAAATAAATAGCGAACAAATAAAAGACAAATTATGTAAAATTTTGGAGCAAAATAATAAGGAATTCTTTTGCTCCAAATTTCACCTTGTACCAACTTTTCTACAAAAAGTTATTAACGTGAAATGCCCATTATTTTCCATTTAGAATAAACATGTGGGTTTATTCTTAATTCACCTACACATTAATTATTTTTGTTGTCAAGTGATTATATTCTGTGGAATTGGTGTCTCATTGAAAGATGTTATGACAGGCTTCAGGAAACAATTTTAACATATTCAGAATAAACTTTCTTATATGTGTGGGAGACTCAAGTTTTTTTTACGACTGGGTCGGTTCGAACGGAGTGATACCACGGCCTCACGGAAAATCAGCGTGAAACCACCATAGCGTTGTGTTTCGGGGAGTAAGTGAGGTTCCTGAAGGCCCAAACCTTCCTCTCCCTCATCACTCCCAAATCTCATAAACTCAAATCCACAAAAGACCGACGATGCACTTTTAACTTTTTGGCTCCATGGGCGGTGCCGATTGCTTGCCATCAGGTAATCCGTCTGCTCCTTGCAGGACGCTAATGTAAAAAAGAAAAGCACCTACTGGGAGTTCTTAAGTAAGCCTAGTAAGGTTTTATATGAAATGAAATAAGAAAATAATTAAATAAAACACATCGAATATAAAAATGAGTTTATATGTGACTTGATAATATTTTTCATAAAATTCCTTCAAGAGTCAAGGGTTGGTGACACATAAAATGTAGCTTATATAATTAGGTCATATGGAGGGACGTTGGATTCGGTTAGTTGCCACACGCCTCACGCAACCTACACCTCGCCGACAACCCTAGCGAAAGTATATTGGTATTTTTGATAAACGAATATACTCGACCTAAGTTATTGGATTTTAATAGGGCGTTTATGGTAACATTATCTGTTCTTTTTGGGTAATATCTGTGATGTTGTTCCAGTGTCTAGCAACGATAGCAACAGTGTATTGGCGGAGCAATGAAGAGAGTGTGCAGGGCGAGAGACTGAAGGGGTACTCCAGGTCCAGAGAGCTAACCGAGAGCTCCAGGGCAGACCGGGTGCAAGCGGCGGGGAAGCCAGGCAGTTCCGCCCCTACCCATGCCATCAAAATCTACTTACCACTCGTCTGTGTCATAATACACATATCACAGAACAAATACCATTCGTAAACGGACGATTTATAAAAGAAACTATTAGTGAAGTTTTGTAGCTATATAAAGTGATGAAATGTGCTAAAACTTTCGAAATAAATGCTTTATTCAATACGACTACGAGACTTAGGCTTATACGAATGTATCCAATTTTGCATGTCTGACTAATCTAAGTGATGTACCTATTGAAAACCATTTGCGAATTCTGTTTTGTGATGAAACGTGTGCCATCAATGTCGGAATAACAATCAGTATTTTAGTTTACACCTCATGCATTGTTCCAAAGGTAACCAAAGTATATATAACTGTAACAGTCTACCATTTTATCATTAGTATATTTTAGAATTTCATCGCTATTATCTGTGTACATCTCGTCATTCCATTTGATGGTGATAATCCGTTGTATTTGTATATAAATTATAAGTACCTAAGTACGTCATTTTATAATGTTTAAACATATCATTATCGTTCACTAACTCTACTTTACAAAGGCAATTAATATTGTAAAGCAATGCATTTATTATGTGTACGTTAATTAAGGATACAACTGGTTGTATGTATGAATAGAATATGTTTTAATTACTACAATGAAATTCTGAACTAGGTATGCAGTATGGGTAAAATGGATCACTCGATTTTAAATCTGTTTTAAAAAACGCTAATTTAGAAAACATATTGCAAAAGAAATATCAACTCGATATTTACTTGAAAAAATCTATACGTCCTCGTTATGTCTAAATGAGTTTTACTTTGTTCATGTAAATTGCTGCAATCATCGACTGTGCCCGACGCACGTGTAGTTTATGGCATTGGAGGTGACATCCATCGTGAAGCGGACGCAGTGCGTTAAACGAGAATATATCCATTTTATTTCAACACAACACTCGTTGAAGTTATTTATAACATCAAACGTGTAGAATGGTTTGATGCGATCCTCACACTATACATCTTAATCTCTCCTAATACGCCTCTTAAATGTTCACGTTCTCTATTCAAACAAGAATCAGACAGTTTTCGCCATTACTCTACGCATAAATGTTTCCCAGGTGATTGGTGCAACTTGCGAGAGAAGTGAAGCGAGGTTAAGTTTCAAACTTGCGATCAGGCAATACAATATAGCAACTACTAGTAAAACTTTGCTTTACAAGAACTCTTCGATAGACAAACTCACTCTCGACGCTTTTGTGGCTAAGGGAGCTAACGTTAAAGGAGCGGTTCTAGTGCAGTTTTATGGGTTTTTCTTGTGTTCATGCTTCCTTCAGTTTGTTTTTAAATGACAAAAAATTGTCAGCTGTTACATCACTAATAAGACAGGTGCTCGTTTGCCACCTATTCCATAAAAAAAGGTGAATAATATCAAATAAAGTGACATAATAAAGGGAAAATTATAAGCCTGTAAAAATATGGTGCGTCATTGTGTCTCGTGCAATGTTTTGGTTAATTTTTTCATGCTATACGCCAGGCTAGTAAATATTGCTGCGTTCGAAATTACACGGCTATTGTAATTACTTTCATCGCAGCGATGTCGGGTAATATTTTGGCATCCCAATATATGTAAATTGAATGAAATAACGTGTATAAATTCATACAAGAACAAACAACTCCATTTTGTAATCTAAATGAAATGTTTAACATAAAAAATATTATTTAAAATTATGTAGTATTTATAGGGTATAAAGAGATATATTACAATGTATATATTTGTAAATTAATTATATTTATAGTTAGGTAAAACTTATTTTATAAGTTGATGCGTCACTCCACCAATTTTCTAATTAAATTATGAGTGAAGGTATCATTAAAACGTGAGTAGTATAACGATGGTCCTACAATGAATGTTCGTCGCATCAATTTCTAGAATTTGTTCAATTTACATTTTAACTAGTCACCATATACAATTTTAATGTTGCTAAAGTGACTGTTGTTTTTAAATGAGAAAATGTTATGCCACTATTTCGGTCTACTTACTAAAATTACCTTTGCTTAATATAAGATAGACTTGTTTTGTGATTCAAGTTTACCATTGAATGTACAGGGATAAATACTGATAGAAAAATTCTAGCTGAAGGGAAATGTCGTAGAAAATGTGGAAAAAATAACACAAATTATTTGTGAAACAAGATGGTATCCGTTTGAGAATTTCCTATCCAGTGACTTAAGGTTTCCTTATTCTACTATCGTTAAAAATATATTTTCCTTGAAAATAAATACGGTTTTCCTTGAGTTGGAAAGCAAAAATGTTTATTTTGCTCTTCGTGATTTGAACGCATATCAATTATGTAAAAATGAAGATGCAAAGGAAATGGCGAACTCAGCCGGTGAAACCCCATTTTACCGCATTCCGCCGGTTCTTACCGGCTTAAAACCAGAATTTTGAAAGCTTCCATTCATCTAACTCGTTCTCATTCATTAAACGTGGTTTTGCTAAAGGCTTTTTGCCTATAGTTTACTGGACTGAATCTAGAATAGGTAATTTAAACACACAACCATCTCTACAAACTTCATGCAGAAAAGAGTAATAAAAACAAAATATATGATGCAAAATGTATTTTAAAATCATATAAACAATTTTTAATTAACAAGTAACAAATAATCCACTACGCATCTGCAAAATGAAACGAGGAATATACCTACATATATGTATATGCGTGTCGTCAATGTATCGGTTTGTGTCAATGCCAGTTGTAGCTCAATAGCAATCACAAATAATGCCGGAATTTCCGATATCCATGTTGTTCAATGCCGAGCGAAATATAGTTTGAAACAATATCATTCTTGATTGTAACTATCGCCCAAATTCGGATTAATACTATGCCATTTGTAACTTACTTAGAAGGTAATGAAAGAAAATCATTTTAGTTTAAAAACTACTTAAAATATTATCATGATCCTATTAATTTGTTTCTGAAAGCATCAGGGAATATTTCACATACATTTCGTAATGTGTAATTGTGTGAAACTTAAGCGTAATTTTCAATGTATTATACATGTATTATACTACATGTATTATACATTGAAAATTACGCTTAAGTCAAAGAACAAACTGTACATTTATTCATATTTTATACTAACAATGAGAGTGAGGCACGAAAATCGTATTACCTATAAAATTGTAATGTAATAATAATTAATATTAAGATAATATTATGTATAATTTGTGGGATGCAATTCATAAAGTACGCGGTTATTGTTGCTTATTGTTATTGAATATTTATAGCGTATAAATACGAGTTTGTACATAATGGATATACCGTGTAGCTCAAAAGAATTGAATATAAATAAATCATGTGACCTAATTACTGACGACTTGTTATTTATTTCTAGTGCGCTGTCAACGTATGCATGGCTGCTCTGCTAAAATAAGATTCTAAATTCAAAAATATATTTTATATTTACCATAGAGTATTTATGCGCTCCTCTATTAATTGAAAGAAAAATTGTGAATCGATCTATCGGCCAATATAAAATCGTTTTGGATTTTTCGATTGCAATGTTTTTAGTTATAACACTTATTGGGAATTGTAGCAATTTTTTATATCATAGACCGACAAACTAGCAAACGGATAACCTGATGGTAAGCAATCGGCGCCGCCTAAGGATACTCGTAGTACCAAAGGAATTACTACAAGTGCGTTGCCGGCTTATTGTGGGCTATTGGGGATTTAAGGTTGATGATTTAAGAATTGAGGATGGGGGTAGAGGGGGAATTATTGGGCATCCGGTCACGTCATTCACACGGCGAAATACAACGTAAGCGTTGCTTCACGCTGGTTTTATGTGAGGCCGTGGTAGTACTCCGGTCGAGCTGGCCAATTCGTGACGAAGCTTGGCTTTAACACATTATAATAATTTCTTATCTTGTTATTATTGGTAATCCCTAAAATATTAATCATATTTGCTGCAAAATAGTTAATTAATTATTCGTGAATAAACGGATCGCATGTAAATACATCCGATAGCGTAGGTAACATTTCTGTTTTTCTTCTCATAATTAATTTCTATTTACAGGTTATTTACTGAACATATTATTTTTATTTAATTACACAACAATACAACTTAATCGTGACTTATGTAATATTAATGCTAGTGCACAAGTAGTTTTTATACTAATACTATCTTTAGCCCGCGACTTTGTTCGCGTGTAATAGTAACTTCCTGCAGATTTTTGGTATAAAAACTGTCATATGTCCTTTTCTGGAGTTCCAAACTGTGTCTGTACCAAATATCACAGAAATCGGTTCAGTAGTTTAGGCGTGAATAAAAAACAGACAGACAGACTGAGTTACTTTCGCAGTAGTTTGGATTATAAAGAGGTAAAATTTGTAAGTTTGTATGTTGGGGGTAATCTTTGGAACCGCTGGTCTGATTTGTAAAATTGTTTCCCTGATAGCTAGATGCAATATTCCTGAGTAATATAGGCTATAACTTATACCTACTTGATTTGCGTACTTTAGTCGAACTATCACTTTAAACGCTGCTGTTTTTTTTTACATCCCGGGATACAAAGTATGGGAGAGCCATGCTTCGGCACGAATGGGTCGGCTCGACCGGAGTGATACCACGGCCTCACAGAAAACCGGCGTAAAACAACCACAGCGTTGTGTTTCGCCGTGTGAGTGAGGTTACCAGAGGCCCAATCCTTCCCCTCCCCCAATTCCTCTTCAATCCCCAAATCTCCAAATCCCTAATCCCTAAACGGTCGGCAACGCACTCGTAACTCCTCTGTTGCTTGTTGTTGTTGGTTATCCGTCTGCTCGTTTGCCGACCTATTACATAAAAAAAAAACATTCCCTTTATACTTACGTGCACGAAGACGCGGGCGGTAGCTAGTTTTATAAGAAATGCTATGTATGTAGGTTACTCTTAATATTCAACTTTTATTAAAGCCCTATACAACTCTTTACAACTAAAAATAACATACTTGACATATGTACTGTATTACTTGTTAGTTTTTATTTATGAATTTGCTTTTTAAATGCTAGTCGCGGTAAAATAATAAAGTAAAAGTAGTGCATATGACTGTAATTGTACACTGACTGCTACATAGAAATTGAAACTAAGGATTTATTTGAGTTTAAATAAAAATTTAAATGACAATTATTTATAGACTGTAAATAGTCGTAGATTCGTTAGTAAATGTGTGACTTTACAAGAAAATAGACTGAGTTTAATGCCATCTTTGCAGCTTAAAACCATTCACAGACTTTTACTACCCTAGATGGGGCATAGCGGTCGGGTCGGAATGTAGTGACAGACGCTTACTGACTAAAAACCACCTCGTCCCTGCTCTGACTTGGTGCCACGGGCCCCGGAAGATTAACACCATGAATAATTCAAAAATTATAGACATATAACTGCTATTTAGTTTTTCAATGCACTGTTATATAAAAATGTGATAAAAGTTTAGCTAAAGTAAAAGGTAGATTACTATTTTAGATACCTATATGTATATTAAAATCTATAACAAATTTTAATGTTTATATCGCTATGAACTAGCACACACAGGCACATGGTATTTTCAACTCAAAACACTATCGAAAGAGTATACCTTATTCTTTATGGGAAAGTCGGCAAACGAGCAGACGCATTACCTGATGGTAAGCAAGTATGGACCCCCGCAACACCAAAGGAGTGACGAGTGCGTTGCCGGCCTTTTGGGGATAGGGGTTGCGTATATAAGGATTGGGAAGGGATAGGGGAAGGGGAGGGATTGGGCCTCCATACCTATATGAAGAATGCACATCTATTACCTTTTAGAGTGACAATCACTTCAATATTCAACAGAACTGTTACGTTCCAATTGACACGAGTTACAATCGATTACTACAATTCCCAGTAGTAATAACTATATCCCTGGATGTGACAATAGCAATAAGACAATTACATCACCCTGTATAACATGGATGTAGACAAAAGAGTGTTGCCCACTTCACCCTTTGAAGTTAGAATAGCGTTTACGGTTTAAAACGTATTGCTATGATAAAACTTTAGGAATTTTGAGTTGAATTCTATAATAATTTTGAATTAAATTTGTATTGACGAGAAAGAATCTTTGAATGACTTCTCTTGGCTGGGTCCCGGGGAGAGAGACGAGACGGAGTGTCAGACTCATACTGAATTAAAATCACGCTGTTTCTTTTCGAGTTGAGCCGGGACACATAACTCTTATTAGGCTTGCAGTTGCAACTCTGGCTGGACGTCGGCTCTAGTGGACCCCCTCTATGGTGGTCCAATGACTCTGAGGTTCTCGCGGAACGTGACGCACTGGGTGCTTTGATCTGGTTTTAGAACCACCCCCAAACCCGCGCTTAACGGTGTCCGGAGATCGAGGAAAACGACTCCCAACAAATTGTACCATCCATAAGAATTCCACAACTTTAAAAAAAACTTTCAACGGGCTTTACTTTCCGTAACTCAGGAGTCAAACCTGACATCTACTCGTATTACTATGCCACGCTTGCGCCCACTAAATAAAATTATAGCATAGCCTTCAAATAAAATTCTAATTTCCTATATTAAATCAGTTTCTAGAACATTCGACCCATAACCCCTTTACATTGTAAGTATTAATTATGAATTCTTTATGTAATTTGATAAAATTGTGGGACAGAACTAAGTATAACTAAGACCAATACGTGCCGCGACTTGAACGTAGAGGATTAAATCTGTACCCCGTACTTTACCCTTCTCGCAAAACTTGTTAATAACGTAAAATTATTAAATTTTTGTTAGGCGCTCATGTTAATGATTTTCTAATAATATCTACCTACTTAAACATTGTGTGTACTTTATTTATGAGTTTTGGAGATGGAAGGAAATTCTGTCAGTGTTATCTGAACATCTTTGTGACGAAGTATCCAGTTATAGCGTTGGCCGGGAAATATCCAGATGGATCGCCTGACACTTGCAATGCTGGAGTAAAAAGTGTGCTGGTTATTTATGGATGGGCAAAATTAAGAAGGCTTAGGCTTCTAGTAACCACAGTGGAACAAATCATAAGCATTATTTCAAGCCTATTTTCTTTAAGACTCTGGTATGTGGTACTTATTTCCCATTCCTGCAAAATATGACTCTCCCAGATTCAAATAAAGATTCAAAATTTATTTATTCTTATCTAATTTATTGCTTCCACTAATTGATTTTTCAATAGTGATTGTACTGTGTGGCTGGTTTTTTAATAGTCACTTCAATGTTATCTTAGGAATAAAATTGTTGCTGTCACTGTCTTATACAAACGTTCTGATGCAACAGAATTATCATTATTCCCCAGATAACATTCATCTGACTATTGAAAAATCAACCCTAAGTGCTAAAATAAAAATTAATGACTAAAGTCTATAAAGAGTGAACATTTTGCTAACCATACTTTAATAAATTGTAAGCACAATACAGTAAACTAAATCTTATAATTATAACCTCATTGCCCCACATAGTTAATAGATTAATCTTATCATTAGAAGCAGTCGGACTTAGGACTTGAGACGTCTAATTGCATAAATTAGAAAGACACAAATAATTTGTGACATCGGATGGTCGATCGTTAAACTGGAGCGAATCAATCAAGTCAAACTAAACCACTATTAGCCATCCAAATGGCTGACACTTTCAAACTGGCAACATCTTAATTAAAAGTTCAATAGCTCGTTAAAACTTGTATCTCCGCTTAGGACTACTAGGATAAACTAACTAACTATAAAAAAAAGTTAAGAACTCTTTAAATATCAAAGTCTATAAGTAATTTTGTTGTAGAAATCTGTTTAGTCGTAGCCGACTGTGATCAAAAAAATCCGGACTTAATATACCTATGTCACAGACTTTTATCTA